AAATGAGTCATACTAGCAAAATTCGCCGGTGGCTTTAACTCCAAATCAAGGCTCAACTCCACAAGATTCCCAAAAACTCAACTGCTACCTGATAAGGAAATAATGGAAAATATGAGTTGATAGCTCAATGGTGGAGAAATTCAAAAATAATTATACATTTCCATTTACACATTTTTATAGAAAATCAAGTGGAAATCATTTAACAGTTCACATTATAATAACAACAATAATCAATACGTGAGACATCTCATGACATTGAAAAATATCATGTAAATGTCATGATATGTTCCTCATCTCAAATCCATATCATCATCTCATCCCATCGCATGTAATCAACCAAAAATGTACCCTCTAATTGAAGTTAATAATCCACCCCTCGGGCTAAATACTTTTGTCACGGCCCATAGGCCCCTTCATGACCGACAGTGGGTCTCAAAGACCTCTCATAATTAATATTAGAACACGGCCAAGGCCACTCAGTGAACTGTAGGTACACGGTCAGACCCCTTCATCCACAGTCAAGACCCCTCAGTGTAGTATAGAACACGGCCAAGGCTACTCCGTGAACTAGAATAAGTATATGATTATGCGTACGTTTCTGGTCGATCTTAATATCACATATGTCTCACATTCCAATCCACAAATAATCCATACACTATCTTTGGATTCCATATATATCATAGTGAAAGAACATTTCCATATCAATCATATAACTGAACAAATACTTTGCATAATAGCATAAAAATCATTTGGAAAATCATATAAATTGACAATGAATGATGGGCCTCAAGGATCTTCATCTTAAGCTCAAGGTGACTAACTCTCATTCTTTCATACACACAGCAGAGGCAGAGGCAGAGGCAGAGGCCAAACGAAAACAAAGAATGAATGCCAGCCATTTGGATTATTAAAGTACCCAAAATAAATTATTTCCATTTTTCTTCAAGCTTAGTAACAATCTTTTTTCATTTCCATTTTTTTTCCTAGAGTATTCGTTTTTGTATCGTTTTATATTCTTATCTAAATTTATATTTACCTAGAGCATCGATGTCAACAGAACGCGTCTGCCACAGATTCGTTCTCATCGAAATTGAGTCAATATATCGCACAAAAAGGGGTAAAACTTAATAATGTAGATTACAATTACATTTTCCATTGTTGTAATAGTTTTTCTGATAGGGAAGCTAGGGGGAGAGTGGGTTTAAATTTTAAGGGTTTCGAAGGAGGTAATTTTTATGGGTGAAATAACATTTGCTGAGAAGAGAGACAAAGAAGATGAAACCATTGTTTATTGAGTTTTGACTTTTTCTCTGTTGTTGGACAGACAATATAGAAATGAAGGCTTGTAGAGTAATAAAGTGGCACGAACTCGTGTGTATACGATTGAGACGGAAGTGTGTAGTTGACCTGTAAATATAAAATAATTATTTGAGTTAAGTATTAGTTACACCAAATCTAAGCGTATGTTGCTAAATATTTTGAGCCAACAACATTGGAAAAATGATGTATTCAAAGCCGGCGTTCTAAAAAGCTCATCTATGCGATGCCTAAACTCGAAGCTCGGGCAAAATGTCTTGTTTTGCATTTAGACGCCTTTTTTTTCCAATTCCTCAACACTTGAATTTTTTCCTTCCTCTCTTCCATTTTCTCTAAGTGCTCTTTATTAGTTTTTTTTT